TTTTTCTTTTTTTTTTTTTTTTTTTTTTTGTTCCAGGGATTGAACTCAGGACATTGTGCTTGAGAGCCAGGCACGGTCCCACCAAGCTAAATCCCTGGCCCTTCTCCTTCCCCTTTTGGCAGGCCCGGAAAGGAAATGGCTTCCCAAGATCAAACACAAATTAATGAATGCTGGCACTATGACCCAACCTCCAGCCCAGCTCTGAGGTAGGCGTGTGTCTGGGGTGATAAGATCCTCATCAGCTCTCTACTATCTCCAGCAATGCAGCCACCATGAAAACCTTGTTTTACAGGAAAACCTTTTCCCTTTCAATCTTTAGTATTAAATCTAACTGGGAACAATTAGTAACTGCCTATTTACCTCTCACTGAATTCCTAGGGCAAAGAAGTCTTCAGATCACATGCCTTAGTATCTGACATCATGTTGCGGAAATCTTGTCAACAAGACAGGTAGAACCACCTGAGATAGTGAATAACCAGAGCTTGCTGCCTTCCACAAGTCTAGAGGTCTCTACAAAGAACGCTAACTCCAGTCCCAAAGCAGCTAGTAAAAAGCTTGTCTGCAAGGCTCTGGAATTTGTGCTGGGAATTTGTGGCACAAGTCCCAAAAGGCCCTTTCCTTAGTAGGCTGAAAGTCAAAGGCAGAAATACAAAGGTTCCAAGGCAAAGCATGAGGAAAAAGTGCAATCAGCAGAAATCCAGACTGCTTCTCCATGTTCCATTTGGTATCTTTTTAACAGAGGATGAACTGCAACTTGGTCTCTTCTGGTCCTATTTGATGTGAAATCATACACAAGTCTCTCCAGGGTCAGGCCTAGTAAAATCAGGCTAGATCTGCCTGTCAAACACAGGCTGGCAGAGAGACCACCTGACTTCTGAGCCACCCTGTGAAATATTAATTTAGAATATACTAGATTAAATATGCTAAAATCAATTTCGTCCATTTGATGAGGTTATTTGAAAATTTTTAAGTACATATGTGGCTCCCATAATACTTTTATCAACCAGTGCTGGTCTCCATCATGATGACAAATGTGATTCCATTTGAGAGCCGCAGAGTGGCAGGTGACACTGACCAGAGGGTTGTAACGTAGGCCTGAGCACAGGGCCCACAGGGCACAGGGCAGCCAACACCATCCCCATCCACAACACTTTCTGACTCAAGACAACTTCTTTCTCCTTTAAACAGCGCCTCCTCATTTCTTACTGTCTTGTCCTCCACCAATATCCAAGCAGACACCAACTTTCTTTACTATGGACCCAGACATCTGCTGCTCTGGCTGATGGCTCAGAGTCTCAGTGTCCTTCCTACTCCCTCAGCAGGTGGGTAAGACCTTTGAACAGCTGGGCCTCACAGAGAGCTCTGTGACAGTCTATCACCAGGAGTCTATCTACTGAGCCTCAGTTCAGCTGGTGATGTGCCTGTCATCATCACCATCACGTGGTAGTCACCATGAACCCCTGGCCAGAGACATGAAAACATGGCTGAGAGACTGGCCATTTAAAATGCTGCAGTCCCAAGCTCTGACAGAGGAATACTCCAGTCACACAGGACTGAAGAGAGATGAAGCAAAGCTCTACCACTCAGCAGGTGCCAAACAAGCACCCCACAGGTAACCAAGTGCCAGTGTCCACTGTCTGATAGCTCCCCAGGCCATTTCCTGGGTCTCCATAACACCAGTCTCCCCAATTCCTACTCATTGCCCAAATACCACCTCTTCAGAAGAGGCTTCCATGGGGTGCATTTCCTCTCCATCTTCTGAAACAGGAGCTCACCCATGAGATAGGGATGAGCCTGGGTTCCTCACTAAGTTCCTTGAAGGCAGACATGACAGTCTCAATAGGATCCAGTACCCAGCTCAGTCCCTCCAATATAAAAAGCACCCAAAAGTATTCTCTAAATAATGAAAAAAAGAATAAGATAAGACTATAAGAGCAAGAAGCAATTTAAATATGTTCAGGGACCATTTTCATCTCCAGAATTAAGGATTGTTTTAATGTTACATCATTGTCTTTTCTCTTTTACTTTCCTTTTTAGTTTTATTTTAGGATTCCCTATTTTTAATGTTCATACAGAGATTTCTTTAACTGAAATACCGAATAGTTTCTTTGGTGTGAAAAACTATAATAGTACACAGGATCCTAATGGGATAATTAATAATGTGAAATAGGAAGTAAAGGG